TCTTTCTCTTTCTTTTTCTTTCTCTCCTCCCTTCCCTCCTTCCTTCCTTCCTTCCTTCCTTCCTTCCTTCCTTCCTCCTTCCCTCCCTCCCTCCTCTCTCCCTCCCTCCTTTCCTTCTTTCCTTCCTTCCTTCCATCATCTGAATCTAAGACTGTTAGGAACCCCAGAAGAGAATCATAGAACTTCTGTGCTGGAACTTGCTTTGGGTCTCAGAGCAGCCTGGTTCTCTTGACATCCAGGCCTCTCATCATACTCCACTTACTTCCCTGATCATCTGATCTCCTTCCAAGGCAGGGTCTGGCCCCCAGCTGGCTCCTCCCTGCCCGTTAGCTTGGTGATGGATGGGCTCACGGGGCCACTAAGCAGGAGACTTAGGAAGCTTCAGTTTCCCAGATACTCCATGACCGGTATCCTACCCGACATGGCCACACCCACTTTCCAGTCTCATCTAGTACTCTAAGCTCCAGCCTCAACTGAATTCCCTCCAGCTTTTCCAGGGAACCTGATCTCCTGCCACCAGGCTTTTGCACAAACTGTTACTGCTACCTGGAGTACCCCATCTGGCTGATTCCTTCTCCTTCTTCAGGTCTCAGTGAAGAGGTACAGGGCTGGCTTTATGGACAGGTGACCTGGGCCTTAAAAGGGCCCTACACTTGATTTAATACTGTTGCTGTCTTGAAATTCTAAATAATTTTTGAATAAAGGGCATTTTCATTTTACACTAGGCCCCACAAATTATGTATCCAGTCCTGTAGAAATGTTTTGTTCTGGTAAAATGTCCCAATTCCCAATTTCACCTGTTTGATTGTATTTGTAGTCTCCTCCACTAATTCATCTTTAAGTTCCATGAAGACAGGAACTATTTGGTAGGCTCTGGTTTCCCTTTTCCTAACAGTCCTCATTTCCATTTGGTAATCCATTTTGTTTGGGTGCAGCTGACATCTCTCTTGGGGCCAGAGATGGAACATGTGACTTAAGATAAACCAATTAATTGGGCCATGCTTGTGACACAGGGCTGGGCATGAAGCCAAGCTGGTCCAATCAGAGTGTGCCTCTGGGTATTTTCTGGAACTGTGGTGACAATGATGCTCCCTCTTCCCTGCTGGACATTAACAAGAAGCATGTAGCCTGGAGTCAGGTGTCTTGGAACCATAAGAGAATCCAGGTTTAGGATGAGGCTGATGCCTCATGGAAGGAGGAGAGGAAAAACAGAATGGAAATGAGTGCTGGATCAAGCCTCACCTGAAGTTTTCCTCTGATTTTTCAGTTTTCTGAGCCAATGAATTACCACTGTTGCCCAAATCAGATCGAGTCAGATTTTTATGCACCCTATATGATCTTGTATATATCTTGCTCATTATAGTAATCCTGGTATCTACCACAACCTGGCATGAAAAAGATCCTCAATAAATATTTGATGAAATAATAAGGAAACAAATGAATTAAACCCAAGCCCTCTGGCAGAAAGACCAGAGGTACAAATTTATATATGAGACTTTTCCAGGAGTTTTTCTGCAGAGTTTCTGCTGGTCTTCTTGATCCTGTATACCTTAAGGGACCCCAACAGGTCCCCATCTTTCCTGGCTAGGGCCCAAATCCCTGGGACAGGCCAGAGCTTAGTCACTTTCTGTTCATCCCCAAGCAGCTAGGCCTGCTGTGGCTTCTGTCTTCACTCAAGTGTCACTGGGCTTAGAAGCTTCCCCTGAGACTGGGACCTAGGTCTGGACTGGCACTGCCTGACCTAGGAGCTTCATGTAAGTCACCTGTATTTATTTATTTATTGGCTTAAACAATAAACATTTATTTCTCACAGTTCTGAAGGCTGGGGAATACAAGATTTTTAAAAAATTCTTTTCCATTATGGTTTATCATAAGATACCGAATATGGTTCCCTGTACTATACAATAGGATCTTGTTGTTTATCCATCCTATATATAATAGTTTGCATCTGTTAATCCCAAACTCCCACTCCATCCCTTCCCCACCTCCCTCCCCCTTGGAAACCAGAAGTCTGTTCTCTATGTCTGAAGCCACCTGCATCTGAGACTCAGCCTCCTGCTCTGGGGGATGGCAGTGAGGATGGAGAGCCGTTGACTTCAGAGGGTGAGATGGCCCTGACTCTTTTGTTGCCTAGGATTCTAAACTTCTGTGACACAGACAGGCAGCTCTACCAACTGGAAATGGGGAGTTTTAGTCAATCCTGCTGTTCTCTTATTCAGCAGGTATTTGTCGACAGTTACTATGTGCCCTGCCCAGGCACTGGGACTCTCATCCCCATTCTCTAAACCTCCTGCTTCCTGACCCCTTGCGCTGAAAATCTGGGTTGTGACCTCAACACCTAAAGGCTTCCCAAGCCCACATCCTGACCCCTGTGATGCCTACCTCTTTACCTCCTGTCTCTGCACTCACCCACACACACACATCAGACTCATTGCACAGATGTGTGGCTTCTGGCGACCTGCAAGGAGGAGTGCCTTCGAGCTGGGTAAATGTGTATTCAGCTGTGCGTGGGTGTGTTGACGTGTACTTAAGCGTGCATGGCTGTAAGAGTGTGTGTGTGTGAGGCCATGGAGTGGAGGTGCGCGTCAGAGTTTGAACGTGGAAGTACTGGGTGTACAGGAATGTATCTAAGTGTGTTTGAGCACCAGAGTGTGGGTGAGTGTGAGTCACTGTCAGAGTATGAGTGTGCATGTATGAATATAGGTGGGTTGAATGTGAAGTGAGTGTGCCTGGGTGTGTTGGTGAGTGAGTGAGTGAGCGTGTAAATGCACTTGTGTGACTAGGCACACACCCCCCCAGCCCCCAGAATTCCCTGGCTGTCCAGTGGTTAGAACTCCGAGCTTTCACTGCTGAAGGCGCCGGTTCAATCCTTGGTTGGGGAACTAAGAAAAAACGCACAACCCCTCCAGTCCTTCACCAGTTACAGCAGACACACCCTCACATGTATGTGGGCATACTTGCACCTCTTAGGGCCAAAGGTGGCTCAAGCTATAAACCTTCAGTCCAATAAAGGGGAGACTTTGTCCCCAGGCCGGGATCAGTTTCCCTTCTCCACCCCTGACTTGGAACTGGGGAGCTGACTTCCCTGGGTAGCTAAAGGCTACCTCTCCTAGGAAGGAGCTCCCTCAGACCAGAGCCTGCAGCCTGCCTCCCCGCTTAAGCCAGTCCCCTCCCTACTCCCCCCATCTCATCTGTTTCCGGCCAGGCCCTGGCAGTGACCCTGAGCAGAGAGGCAAAGGATGAGGGTGGGAGGCAGGACATTCCAGGTACTTCCTTGGCTATGGGGTGGGGGTGGGGTGTCTCCATGGAGATAAGCGGTGGACCATGTCCAGGTGGTTATCAGAATTCCCAGAGTCCTCCCTTCCCTCACCCAGTCAGGCCTCCTTGGCTCTGAGCACAGTGAGGAAGCCTGGCAAAAGTCCAGCATTCCTCAAAGGGGCTTCCAGAGAAGAGACAGGGGCTAGAGGTTCCTGGGAGTGGGCCAAGAAGACTTCCCAGAGCAAGGATCAGAGAAGCTGGTTGAGATGACTGCATCTGGTTTAAGCCTTTATCCCCAGAGAGCTCTGGAGACAGAGAAGAGTAACACCCACCCCTTCTCCACGCCACATCACATCTGACTTGAAGGTATGACCAAGGCAATCCAGGGAGGTGTCAGATTATTAGTCAGTTTTCAGCCTCTTCATAACCTCACCCTACTGGCAACCTCAGCTGTCCATAAGACCCCCCCATTAGTGACCCCCAGACCTCCTCTCCTTCGGTCATATGCAGGATTGGGTAGGGGCACACAGACCCTCTTTCTCCTCCCAAAGCTACTGGAACTCCTGGTGCATTGGTGAGAGCTGGAAAAGACCCCCGGTGTCATGGTAATTGTCCTGGGAGCTGAAGCAGGATGGCAGTGAGCCCTGAGGAAGGATTTCCTGAGTAGCAAAGAAACAAGGTTTGGAAACACAGACTGGGATTTTTGCTTCTGTCTTCAGCCACCCTGGGATCAACCCTCTCCCTCTAAACCCCTAATGCATCACCACAACCATTCTCAACCTCTACCAGATCCCCAGAGCCCCACAAAATGGTGGGGTGCCTACCTCTCCATTACTCAGGAACCTGAGTTTTCTGGAGAAGAACCAGGATGGGAAAGGGGATCTGGTTTCATGTCCCCTGACTCCAGTCTTCCTAGGGAAAGTTGGTTCCACTTGAGTTGGAGGGATTGGGGCTAAACAACCAGGCTGAAGCCCTTTATTTTTTTAATTGAAGTACAGTTGATGTACATTATATAAGTTACAGGTGTACAGTATAGTAATTCACAATTTTTAAAGGTTATACTCCATTTATAGTTACTATAAAATATTGGCTATAGGGCTTCCCTGGTGGCGCAGTGGTTGAGAGTCTTCCTGCCGATGCACGGACGCGGGTTCATGCCCCAGTCCGGGAGGATCCCACATGCCGCGGAGCGGCTGGGCCCGTGAGCCATGGCCGCTGAGCCTGCGCGTCCGGAGCCTGTGCTCTGCAGCGGGAGAGGCCACAACAGCCCGCATACCGCAAAATAATAATAATAATATTGGCTATATTCCCTGTGCTCTTTTTGTGTGTGTGTGTGTGTTTTTTTTTTTTTTTCTGGCCACACCGTGCAGCAGGTGGGATCTTAGTTCCCCGACCAGGGATCAAACCCGTGCCCCCTGCATTGAGAGCGTGAAGTCTTAACTACTGGACCACCAGGGATGTCCCTCCTTGGTTTGTACAGTATATCCTTGTAGCTTATTTTATATATAGTAGTTTGTACCTCTTAATCCCCTACCCCTATATTACCCCTCCCCCACCTTCCATATCCCATCTGATAACCACTAGTTTGTTCTCTGTATCTGTGAGTCAGTTTCTTTTTTGTTATATTCACTAGTTTGTTATATTTTTTAGATTCCACATATAAATGATATCATACAGGCTTCTGCCATCTTTCCAGCCCTCAGTCAGACAGGCGTGGAGACACTTCTAGAAGTAACATCACGATGGCTGCCCAATGAGAACCCCAAGTTCAGTTCAAACTTCTATTGGTTGGTGATGGTGGTACTGGAAAAACTACATTTGTGAAACATCATCTGGTGAATTTGAGAAATATGTAGCTACCTTGGGTGTTGAGGTCCATCGCCTTGTGTTCCATACCAACAGAGGACCTATTAAGTTCAATGTATGGGATACAGCTGGTCAGGAGAAATTTGGTGGACTGAGAGATGGCTATTATATCCAAGCTCAGTGTGCCATTACAATGTTTGATGTAACATCGAGAGTTACTTACAAGAACGTGCCTAACTGGCATAGAGATCTTGTACAAGTGTGTGAGAACATCCCCATCATGTTGTGTGGCAACAAAGTGGGTATTAAGGACAGAAAGGTTAAGGCACAGTCAATTGTCTTCCACCGAAAGAAGAATCTTCAGTACTATGACATTTCTGCCAAAAGTAACTACAACTTTGAAAAGCCCTTCCTCTGGCTTGCTAGAAAACTGATGGGAGACCCTAACTTGGAGTTCATCTCCATGCCTGCTCTCGCCCCGCCAGAGGTAGTCATGGACTCAGCGTTGGCAGCGCAGTGCAGGCAGGATCTAGAGGTTGCTCAGACAACTGCCCTCCCAGATGAAGAGAAAGTGAAGCTGGACCCCGGTGTCAGAAGTCTAGTTTTATAGGCAACTGTCCTGTGATGTCAGTGGTGCAGCGTGTTTGCCACTTTACTATATAGCTAAGCAGAACATGTGCTTAATCTTTGGGATGCTGAAGGAGATGAATGGGCTTCGGAGTGAATGTGGCAGTTAAAAAAAAAATGCCTTCATTTTTTGGACCTGCTTATTTAGGTGTTTTGGAACACAGTTGTTTCCTCCTTGAGTTTCAAATATAAGACTGCTACAGTCACATCACACACACGCACACGCGCACACACACACACACAAAGTGATATCATACAGTATTTTTCTCTGTCTGACTTATTTCACTTAGCATAATACCCTCCAAGTCTATCCATTTTGTTGCAAAGGACAAATTTTCGTTCTTTTTTATGGCTGAATAGTATTCCATTGTATATATATTTATATATATATATGCATATATGTAGTATACATATAGTATAAGTAGTATTCCATTATATGTATATAATGGAATATTATTCAGCAGATGAATGAATTAAGATTAACAGATGAATGGATAATATATATACCACATCTTAATCCATTCATCTGTTGATGGACATTTAGGTTGTTTCCATATCATTTTCCATATCAATTGTAAACAATGCTACTATGAACATTGGAGTGCATGTATCTTTTAGAATGAGTGTTTTTGGTTTTTTCAGATATATATCCAGGAGTGGTATTTCTGGGTCATATAATAGTTCTATTTTTAGTTTTTTGAGGAACCTCCATACTGTTTCCACAGTGGCTGCACCAATTTATATTCCCACCAACAGTGTATGAGGGTTCCCTTTCTTTTTGGAAAAAACATATTTATTTATTTATTTAGGCTGTGCTGGGCCTCAATTGCAGCATGCGGGATATTTAGTTGCAGCGTGCGAACTCTTAGTTGCAGCATGCACGTGGGATCTAGTTCCCTGACCAGGGATTGAACCCGGCCCGCCCCCTGCATTGGGAGCTCGGAGTCTTAGCCACTGGGCCACCAGTCCCAAGGGTTCCCTTTTCTTCACATCCTCACCAGTGTTTGTAACTTGTGTTATTTTTGATGATAGCCATTCTGACAGGTATGAGGTGGTATCTCATTGTGGTTTTGATTTGCATTTCCCTGATGATTAGTGATGTTGAGCATCTTTTCACGTGCTGCTTGGCCATCTGCATGTTCTCTTTGGAGAAATGTGTATCCAAGTCTTCTGCCCATTTTTTAATCAGGTTGTTTATTTTTTTGATGTTGAGTTTTATGAGCTGTTTATATATGTTGGGTATTAACTCCTTATCAGTCATATCATTTGCAAATATTTTCTCCCATTCAGTAGGTGTCTTTTCGTTTTGTCAGTGGTTTCCTTTGCTGTGCAAAAGCTTTTAAGTTTAATTAGGTCCCATTTTCTCATTTTTGTTTTATTTCCTTTGCTTTAGGAGACTGATCCAAAAAAAAATATTGCTACTATTTATGTCAAAGAGTGTTCTGCCTGTATTCCTCTAGGAGTTTTACTGTCTCTGGCCTTTTTTTTTTTTTTGGCTGTGTTGGGTCTTCGTTGCTTCGTTGCTTTGTTGCTGGGCTTTCTCTAGTTGTGGCAAGCGGGGGCTACTCTTCATTGCAGTGCTCAGGCTTCTCATTGCAGTGGCTTCTCTTATTGCGGAGCATGGGCTCTAGGTGCGTGGGCTTCAGTAGTTGTGGCATGTGAGCTCAGTAGTTGTGGCTCACAGGCTTAGCTGCTCTGTGGCATGTGGGATCTTCCCGGACCAGGGCTTGAACCCGTGTCCCCTGCATTGGCAGGTGGACTCTTAGCCACTGCGCCACCAGGGAAGCCCATGGTCTCTGGTCTTACATTTAGGTCTTTAATCCATTTTTAGTTTATTTTTGTATATAGTGTTAGAGAGTGTTCTAATTTCATTAGTTTACATGTAGTTGTCCAGTTTTCCCAGCACCACTTATTGAAGAGACTGTCTTTTCTCCATTGTATATTCTTGCCTCCTTTGTCATAGATTAATTGACAAAAAGTGCATGAGTTTATTTCTGGGCTCTCTATTCTGTTCCATCGATCTATGTGTCTGTTTTTGTGCCAGTACCATAGTGTTTTGATTACTGTAGTATAGTCTGAAAGTCAGGTGGGACGTCATTCCTCCAGCTCTGTTCTTCTTTCTCAAGATTGTTTTGGCTACTTAGGGTCCATACAAATATTAAGATTATTTGTTCTAGTTCTGTGAAAAATATCCTTGCTATTTTGATAAGGATTGCATTGAATCTGTAGATGGCCTCAGGTAGTATAGCCATTTTAACAATATTAATTCTTCCAGTCCAAGAACATAGTATAGCTTTCTATCTGTTTGTGCTGTCTCCAATTTCTTTCATCAGTGTCTTATAGTTTTCCAAGTACAGGTCTTTTCCCTCCTTAGGTATGCTTTTTCCTAGGTATCTTATTCTTTTTGATGCGATGGTAAATAGGATTGTTCCCTTAGTTTCTCTTTCTGTTAGTTCATTGTTAGTCTATAGAAATGCAACAGATTTCTGTATATTAATTTTGTATCCTGCAGCTTTACCAAATTCATTGATGAATGAATTGATGAATTCGGTAAAGTTGCAGGTGAAGGAGGCTCCCCACCTGACTTTCTCCTTCCTTTGCACTGCCAGCATTCCCAGGTGCACAACTCAGTGTCCCCACCTCAGGACAGGCTCCCTCCTCCCAATGAGGAGGCCAGTACCTGCACAGACCCTCCTGTGGGGGACCAAGGGCGTCTCTGGCCTCTGGGGTCTCTGTTCAGGGTGGAGTAGTCCCTCCTCTCCCCTTCCCACCCCACCCAATTCTACCCCACCCATGCTTCCCCAAGCCTGGGGGGGCCACACCCAGGCTTTTAGACAAACAAAATCAAGGGGAAAGAGTTAGCAAGAAGGAGGGAGCTCATTACTAGGAATTAAGGAGGAGGTATGCCCTGGGGTAAGATGAGTGGGACTGGTCACTCAGACTCTCTTAGGCACATGACATGTTCACTTAGAAGTACACATAGAAAGACCCAGACACAAAGAGTCAGGCAGGGACAGAGACACAGAAAGAGACAGAGACATGGTCAGCCAGGGGCACAGACCCAGAGCCATACCAGACAGACTGAGAGAAAGATAGGTACACCCAGCAGCACTGAGAGGTGCACAGCTGCGTGTGCGCACACACAAGCAGGCACACAAGGAAACGGAAACCCAGCTCAGGTTTCAGGGAGGTGGATTTCAATGCCAGCAAGTCAGAGCTTTAAGGAACCATGAGCTCCTCCAAAGATGGCTGTGGAGAGGACTAGCTCAGGAAGAAGGGACAGAGATGAGACGTGGGATCTTGATTCTCTCTCAAGTCCACCCTGGCAAATGGATTAAGTTACTTTCCTGAAAGAGATGAAGAGGTTTCTTTCTAGAACTTGCTATCAGACAGAACTGCTGGTAGGAGGCATATCTTAGAAGGGAGTAGGGGAGGTGGGAAGCTTCGCTCCTGCCCCCAGGGGCCATGCTGCTACTTGGCTTCTGTCACTGGGCGGCCAGGCCTTCCTCTTCCTCACTCGGTCTGACCTTCCATCCAGCGTGTTCCCTAGGCTGCACGCTCCTCTTCTCTCTACACCCGTGGTGGCCCCCTCTTGTGTCTCCCTTCTATTCCTCCCAAAACCCTCCTCAAGTTAGGGCACGGTAAGCCATCACCCTGTTCTCCCTCCCCCCTCTCAGGAACTTCAGATTCGTGGACGGAATCTGAGGCGGAAGTGGATATTAAATTCAATGACCTTTAAAAAACAGCCTTCAGATCTCTCCACCAATCACCATCCCCCCTGTTCTGCAGGAAAAAATCATTTTTTTGACATTTATTGACTATTATCTTCCATTACCTCCTCCTCTCAATGTCTCCCTATTCACAGATGAGGAAACTGAGGTTCAGGGAAAGAAAATGACCACCCCAGTATCACACAGCTAGAGAGAGGCCAAGCTGGGCTTGGAATCCAGGTCTGACTACTTGTTCACCACTGGGCCAGAAGCCCTCCCACCACCCCCTGGTCAGGGTCAACTGCAGGAGTTGAGAGTAAGAGAAGACAAAGGGCATGGGGCATGCTGGGGAGGATAGCAGAGTGAGGGTACCCAAAGCGGGACAGGTGTGGCTGCAGTGAAACTCTGAAGCACACATTCTCCTCCCTTGGTTTGCCCTTTCTCCCCCCAGGGCCTGAGAAGGGGACACTCCCTCTGGCTCAGGTCCCTTCAACATTCCAGACACGCCTCCTGGGAGCTGGGGACAAGTGGGTAGAGACCTGAGATGGAATTGCCTTCCCCCAGCCCCACCTGCCCAGAGTCCAGGCTGTGCGACCCACCCACTCTGGGCCATGGTCTCCTTATCTGTGAAGTGGCTGGGGAGCAAGAGTTGGCTTATCCTCTAAAAACCACAGTTCTCCTCCAGACCCAGACATCCCAACGTAGTTAACTCTGCAGGAGAGCTTGGGTTGGGGCCGCCTTCCCTTTTTATTCCCAGTGAAAGTTGAGGAGGATTCGGTAAGGAAGGAGCAGGAGGTGGGAAAGGGCACGTGATCTCCCAGCAGAGCTTCCCAGGCTTCAGTCAGGGCACCAGAGTTAGTCCAATCCCAGATCCCAGCCTTACAGGACACAGGGGTGCCTCAGACTGAAGAACTGAAGCACAGGAGGCACGAATGAATGCAGCTGTGGTCTCTGGGTTCAGACAACTGACTGTAGAGATGGTGAAAGAATGGGTAAGGCAGGGATGACTTCCTGGAGGAGGTGATGGAGAAGATCAGGAGGATTTTAGTGAGTGGGCAGTGAGGTCGGAAGGCACAGGAGCACACAAAGTAGTCTGGGGTGGATGGAGCATCGTGAGGGGAGGTGTAGGGACCAGGGCCAGGTCCTGGAGGGCCTGACTGCAGGATGGAGGGATTTGAATTGTCACTGGGTAGCGGTAGAAAGAGGCCCAATTTCAGCGGGGGTTTTCAGAAAGATCCCTCTGGTTGCTGTGCGGACTGACTGGAGCAAACTG